TTTATACACAAAGCAGCAGGCAGAACTGAAAAGATGAAATTTCATTATCTGAGATTAATTTTGTGAATTAAATCAAATAAACATGTTTTGTAGAGCCCACTGATGGAGGACCCCCATATTAGGTCACTTTTAAGATCTCGGATTCTGAGATTAAATCCAGCGACGTTTCCAGCTTGGAGGTAATATAGACTTAAGATTAAATAAATTAAAAATGAGAAACAGAGTCGGCATCTTATCGAGGCTTTCGAGTGACAAGATCCTTATATTTGGGAGCGGCTTCGTATGCAACGTTTTTGGGAAATTGTAGTCGGTGATTTTACTACTTTCTTTTACAACTTTGGTGATTTTACTTCTACTTCCTGTTGTCTTCTTCGTCGTCTTTTTCGCCAGTAGAAACACGCTGTAAGAAGAATTCGTATTCAATAAATTGAAGTCGATATTAAAACCACCATTGTTTAATAAAATGATTTGTAGAAAGAATCAAACCAAACAACACCAGAACTCTGGATCTGAGTGAGGTTTATTGTCACCGGAGCTGACAGGAAACCAACACTGGTGAAAAACCAGGAAGTTCATCAATTTAAACATGGTTCTTCAATGCCTGCGTTCGTTCGCCCCCAACTGACCTACGGCTGAATCACAGGCATTCAGACAAAATTATCATCTAATGTTCTCATAACGTTTAATTGTGTTGTCACAGATATTTCGGACATGTAACTAATCTATATCAATCAAAACATAATAGATTAAACATTGTCAACATTATAAAAAGGAAAACCTGAGAATATAATGTTGTGCTTCTAACATCAACACTAATCTCTAATAACTATAAATTTCTTCAACGTGGTTGTTGATCACGTGACTCTCGTGATGCAAAAAAAGTGTTTCCATTGCAGTTTTGCGAAATAAACCAATTTCGATACGGCCGAAAAACTACCTCATCCTAGCGCAAAAACATTGTCGAACAAAATTAAGTTTTTTTTAATTGATGTGTTTCCATTGAGCAAATTTATTTTTGAAATTCTAATCTTCGCATTTTCATGGTCAATGGAAACAGCTATTCTCAGATATTTTATTCTTTTCAGCGCAAATTAAACAAAGATAAGAACATTGCCTTGAAAGTGAATACGTAATTAAATAAATAAAGCAGATGATGGCAGGTGCAGGAAGCAGCAGCGTCCAAAATACATCAAATACCCCAAATGAGCAAATTACGTGAGGTTACGCGTTTTAAACTGGATACCATATTGTGTCATTTTCGTGATTTCATTTACATTTTCCGTATTGTGGAAATCGTAGGGCCCTACATATCCCTGTCCTATTTTTATTGATTTTTTTACACACCTGGGAAATGTTTTCACGTACCCACCGTACTATGGTCGCGTACCGAATCACTGCATTAGAAGCACCAACCATCCCGAGAACCAGGGGATGATTGGCAAAAGTTTTCAGACCAGAGAAACAGTGTGCCTTGAATTGGGCACAGTTTGTAGACGGAAAGACCAACTTGGTAAAACAGGACCAGCCTGTGAATCCTGAACACCTTTAACTTCCTGCACCTTAAATCTGGTCTGTATCACCTCATCAGGTCAATGAGAGAGCAAAGACAAGGCCATATGATGATTTGGGACCAGAAACCATCTTTTTTATTCCTTCTTTTTTTTTTTTTTTTACCCACAAAGAGAAACCAGACAACTCCTGAGTGGATCTGACAACTTTATGCTTCTATAAAAGATGAAGAAAGAATAAAGATTTTTCTTTTTTATCCCATCTTTTCAACACYAATAAGAACTTCTGTCTCGTTTTTCACTCCGTCTTTGTTTCTAAATCTCCCTTTTATTTTACTCTTCCTCTTTCCTATTTGTTCACGGTTCAATAGTCACGTTACACACACACACACCACACACACACACACACACACACACACAGAAATACAAACACATTACACAGCTCATTGGGCTCAGAGAACAGGTCACTTCAAACACCGACTCACACTTTGTGAGGGACGGCTCCAGTGTGTCAAGACTATTTTCTTAACGTCTCCTAAAAGTTAACTGTTCACAAACGCTCCTCTTCCTCGATTTTTACAGAATAATCCAGAACGGATGAATGAAACACCGACTCTCTGAAACCGCTTCTTCCCTCAAGCCTCAACGCAGTTAATTATTGATTAATGTTAATAATTTATGATAACATTTTCAGCAGAAATAATTCAGATCTCTATAGACTGGATGAACAGTTAATATCTTACCTGTAATATCTTATATCCTTCCACCTGAGTAAAATCAGTAAAATTAGAAACATTTTGTGTTAAAATAATGCAGAAAAACAGTTTGATGCATTTATCACACTGTAGTTTCTAACTGCAGCTTCTAAATGTTAAAACAAGATTAACCTGAGCTGCAGATTTTAGATTCAAACATTTAGCAGAAACCAAAATTTTTGCTCAAAAACAAATCTAATAAATAACATTTCAGTAACAATCAGGGGCGGAGCCAGAGGGGTGGCCAGGGTGGCACTTGCCATCCCCGGCACCTGATTGGCCACCCCAAGTGCCACCATGAAATGATTGACATGTGGGGTGGATGCTTGTGGCATTTCAAAGATGGACTTACAGTCACTAGCTTCTCAGATGCTAACACCAGTTTATCCATGCTAATCGCTAACCTCTATGATGCTAACACCCACTTATCCATGCTAGTTGCTAGCCTCTACGATGCTAACATCCGCTTATCCATGTTAGTCACTCGCCTCTATGATGCTAGCACCCACTTATCCATGCTAGTTGCTAGCCTCTATGATGCTAAATCCCGCTTATCCATGCTATTCACTAGCCTCTATGATGCTAAAGCCCGCTTATCCATGCTATTCACTAGCCTCTATGATGCTAAAGCCCGCTTATCCATGCTATTCATTAGCCTCTATGATGCTAAAGCCCGCTTATCCATGCTATTCACTAGCCTCTATGATGCTAAAGTCCGCTTATCCATGCTATTCACTAGCCTCTATGATGCTAAAGCCCGCTTATCCATGCTATTCACTAGCCTCTATGATGCTAAAGCCCGCTTATCCATGCTATTCACAAGCCTCTATGATGCTAAAGCCCACTTATCCATTCTAGTTGCTAGCCTCCATGATGCTAAAGCCTGCTTATCCATGCTATTCACTAGCCTCTATGATGCTAA